CACTACCATTTGCAGGTGGCATTGATGGATTGATTCATTAGGCAATACACAATGGCACTTGTCTGCCATTTGTAGGGGCAACTTGAGTCAGGTTGGACAAAGTGTGGGAATTTATTATTCTGTCTGTATATCCTACAAGCCATCAAAGTGTGACTGGCTTTGTCTTTATTCTTTACCTTGCTTTGTTCTCCCCCTCACTTTTGTCATCTGCTTGGCTGTGCTACTTTCTCCCCACCCCTTTCTATTTTTGTTTAAAGTCTCTTATGACAATCTTCATAGTCATCTTGATATGTTTCAGAGTCACCTAGGAGACACATCTTTGGATGCTTCTGTGAGAGTGTTTCCAGAGAGGTTTAACTGAGGTGGGAAGGCTCCCTGAACATGGCCTGGTGTTTTGAACTTAACAAAAGAAAGACAAAGGAGGAAGTGAGCTGAGCCACCAGCATTACCCTCTGTTTTCAAACAGTGGGTACCATGTCTCAGTGTGGCCAGCTCCTTCCCCAGCTAGAACCAATCACCCTAATGCGTTGTGATAGACTGTAACCTCAGACTATGGGCCAGAACAAGCCTTCCTTGAGTTTCCTTTGTCAGATACTTTGTCACAGCAATGAGAAAAGTCACTAATGCATGTCATATCTGGTGAGGCCCCCTCAACTAGAGGAGCTTCCTGTGTCAGTCTGAGGCTGTATGACATTGCCGTATTATTTTGCCTTACTATTTTGTGGATTTTTCTTTTTCCCACCTTTTATGCCCAGGTTTCACCCCCTAATACTAGATAGAAAACAAGGATAGAGGGGAACGGAGAGAAAGAGATCCCTGAATGTAATTTCTGTCCTTTTGTTTCTTCTTTGACCACAGCTACTAACAAAATGCAACCAATCTCCCTAAACATCCAACCACCCACTACACCTCTCGTGGGCCCTCACATTTATATAGCCTCTGAAAGTTCTCAGAATTCCAAATGTCAAACAATCACAGAAATTATCTGCAGTTGGCAAAACCATGCTTCTGCTAGAACATGAGGCAAATCATAGTCAGCTGCTGCAGACAGTCCTAAGGAGCCCTACATCCCCACATCTGGGATTAAAATGAAAGCACATTCTTATATTTCTGTGTTTTTTAAAGAAACCAAAATTCCAGAATTCTCAAAAAATGTCACCACATTGCCTTGATGTCCTTTGGAGGGCAGGGCATTCTACCTCTACCTCTGCTGCTCAGCACAGGACTTGTCTCTTTACCAAGATGGCTCAGTTTGTTGGTATTTGTTCAGCCTCCTATGGCCTCTTAGAGAGAGACCAAGGGGTCAAGTAGCTTTGGGTATGTGGCTCAAGCTGAGCTACATACAACTGAGGTTATCCAACAGACTCAGGAGAGGTTATCTCTTGGCATATGCTAGTGAATTAGTCGGTGGATAAGTCCCCTGAGCATAAACAACCAGACCACTGAATACCATACACCAGCAATGATGACTGTGGGTCATTGAATGGTTTTAATTAGTGACATCATAAATATCTGCTGGCTGATGTTGCTGGTAGATTTATTGTAATTGAAATTGAAGCCTCCTTTGATCCCCCCACACACAGGTAAAGCACAGATCCTTGAAAGCTGAAGGGTAGTTTTTGAATCAAGACACCATGTTTTACCTTCCGCGTTATCAGAGTTACCATCCATAAGGAATGTTATTCAGAGTGAGGCAGGCACAGGACTTGAGCTGCCTCAAATGTGCTGAAAAAGGGGCTGAAGCATGGATGGATGTCTAAGCTCCCCAACAGGATCCTCTGGGGGGTGATGTTGGCTGGTGGCACCAGCAGAACAGGCATTTCTTATCAATTCCTCCAATGCTGCCCCCGATGCTTGGAGAAACTCTGCTAAGGGATAGCATTGAGGAGTGGTTAGCCATCATAGCTTTTTTTTTTTTTTTCCCTTGGAACCAAAGCCCTGAGCAAGAAGTTGAGGGCATTCAAGAATAGATAGAGCATTCTTTAAGAGAGGATCCAAAGGCAAGTGAAGGGTATTTAGCAGAGGGGGACCTGAGTGAGTGTGTTGTTCAAGGTAAAATTTGGCCTTTGGTTGTGTTAGGTCACGAATGGCATTTTATATCATAATCGTGGTGGCTGTGGTCCAATGTGGAGAATTATGTTCAGGGTAGCAGGCTCTGCACTGTTGATAGCAAGTTTCTAACAGCAAAGGGATAGAGTAGCAATCCAGCAAAGGGGAACTGTAAGGACTCAACAGAATCGGCCACATATTCTGACTTTGTAGATAAAGAAAAACAGAGGTGGTGAGGCTAAAAACACTTCATACAGCCGCATAACTACAATTGTTACCTCAGCTTGAGTCTTCAGACTCTAAGCCTAACTATATCCTTCAGTTGCTCAGGCCCCACACCTAGTTCTCAGCCAGTTCTTTTCACCCTAGGCCATTTCTCCATGCAGTCACTTTACTGTTTTTATAGAATGACCCATGCATTGTATTAATGCCACAGTCACATGTTCCATAGGCTCATGGTTCCTTTTCATATTGTGTCACTGTAACTGGTTTTTCTGTGTTGTTACATAGACTTTATATGCATGTTTGAAGGTCCTACATTCTATCTACCTGAATCACCCCAAGTACTGAGGTACAAGAAATATGATAACTTAAAATATTCTGTGTTCTGATCCATCCTTGAGATGAAGAGTTTACCTTGGATTGTCTAGGTGGGCTCACTGTAGTCTAGGACCTCTTGAACAAGAGAAACAATAGGACAGAGTCAAGGGTAAGAGAAAACAGAAGAACAGATTGAGGTAGGCACAGGTTAAGGAGTACAAATAATGTCTAGAAGCAAGAAAAGTCAATGAGAGTAACCCCACCCCCTCACACCTACAGAAAACAATGCTGTGCTGCTAATTTGATTTTAGCCCAATGCTGGAGATGAAACATGTAGAGGATGCATTTGTCTTGTGGCCATTTGTTAGAGCAGTCATACGAAGCTCATACTTAATCACTCATGCTTCCCAATCCTGGCAGCCTTCCGTTTACCCACTAGAAATGAGGCTCTCTACTCCCAATATAGTGAGTTCTCCTTATTATATGATATCACATTGTGCATATTGCACTGAAATTAACTTCGTTGTGTCACTTGAATTTTTACGGTAACCCTGTGAAGTAGCCACCTCCATATCCTCCATAACACAGGGAGGAAACAGGGTATGCCAAGCAGTGTGTTTAAAGCCACCAATGAACCCAGAGCTGGGACTCAAGCCTTTGGACTATACGGTCCAATTTTAGTGGCTGCCTGACCATTGGTGCTGGACATTAGTGATGCTGGACTTGGGCAAGAACCACCTTGACCCATGCTGTAACAACAGCACCCTCTGCTATCTATGGCATACTTACCTGATACTATATCCTCACCCAAGTACTTAAATGAGGATCTCCCAGGACAGTTAGGGCAAGGCCTGTGTTTCTGTAGGAGGTACCATTGTCTGCATTTATGGGTGAAGGCGGGGTCAATGGCTGATTCACTGAGGGTCAGCTAAGACCAGAGCAGAGCAGACAAAAAAAACCCATCCGGTCCCCAACTCTGTATTGATTCTGAAGTTCTCACTCCCATGCCATGCTACACCAGCAGGCCAGATGACTTTCATCTTCATCAGCCTCACTATCTGATCATCATGAAGCATCAAGGTTGTGCAGGGCCCCACCAGGCTTCGAAGAAAGTAATCAGTGCACATCACCTTGAATGATGCTCTGCCACTTAGTGTCAATTAGTGACAGTCATAGATGAAGCCACAACCCAAGTCAGGATGTAATGGAGGTTTATTGACACTCAAAGACAGGCTATAACAGAGGTAGGCTTTGAGTGGGTTAAGGCTGACCCTTAAAAGCCCCCGGAGTCAAATCCTGACCCCTTCACAAATCTGCCAAACTTGACAGTACTATGGTATATCATTTTCTACACACACACACACACACACAAAATGCCTCAACCTCTATCCAAATAAGCAGGAAATATTTTCATGGTACTGGAGATGGAATCCTTTACCCCCATCCTGATCCCATCATATTCTAGACTTCTGACTATGGAGGATGTTAAATTTAGGGAGCCTGTTTTCGACACTTTTAATCTCCAGGACCAGAATCATCCACTGTAGTGTTTTGAATGCTCATATTCTGTAGAATGTGGTCATAGGAGAGCCAAAGTTTTGCCCCTGGACTGAAGACACTAGGTCTCTGGCTATGCTTGCACAGACTCTTTTAGCTGGCTTTTCCTATATCTGACTCACATTTCTGTAGGAACATCCTGGCAATATTACTGTGATAAATCTTGGGGCTGCTGTTACCATGGATCTGTAGCTAAGCTTGTCTCCGTCCTGCCTCAGGTCCCAGGTTAACTTTAAAATGCTCCTTACTTCCACCACAAAATGCTTTTCCCAAAAGCACCTTTGCTTGTAGTTCTAGGAGTTGGGCAGGGCAGTTTCCATCCATCAGGAAGCTTAAGCCAAAATAATTCTTATCCACATTTGGGCCTGACCATACCCTTAGATGTCTTCATGGCAAAAACTCCCTATACCCAAATATCTTTACACTCTATAGAGCAGCTTGTGGTTGCATTGAGAGACTGGCTGAAAGTTGGTCTTGTATTTATGCCTTTATGGTTAGAGGTACTTGGAAACACAGAAATGTGGTTTTCTTTCTTTCTGAATGTAAACTTAGGACAATGGAAACATGATTAAGGCCATATCTGCTCAACTACTTATAGAATCTAAAATATAAAAACAACTTCATGGGAAAGGACTTTTTAGCTGAACCAATAAGAATGATCTCCAAGAGCAGAAGTGGCTGGAACAAGGAAGGAAGCACACAGGTTTTGTCATGGCGTGGAATATACTGGAACTGCTTTAGGCTGGTATATTATGTGAATGGTAGACATTAAATTTTATAGTAGAATTGAAGTCATGCATTCCATTTTATCCTTTGGTGTACTAAAAGTAGCTGTGTCATCTCCTTTTGTCTAGGATTACTGGACACACGCTATAGTACAAATGATTGTATCGCCCTTAAAAATCTCCAGACTGATGTTACAAAGAGGAAGTTGGACTTCGTCAAGGTAACATATATTTGTACTTCTAGACTGGTCAGCAAAAGTTGTTGGACTATAAAAACCATTGCTGCACTGCTCAAGATAGGTTTGTGGTTTGTTTTCTTTAGTCAAATGTTGAATGAATGAATGAATGAATGAATGAATCAAAAAAAATCTAACCACAAGTGATTAGAGTTTTATACGAAATTATAGAGTATATGTATTATGTGTGTATATAATATATATACATTTTAAGTAACTTTCTTATTTTTAATTAATTCAATTTACATCATGGTCATAGGCCTCTTCCTCCTCTCCTCCCAGTCCCACCCTCCCTTCTGCATCCCCTCTCCCCTATTCCTCAGAATAGGAGAGCCTCCTACCCAGCTCATCTATTCACATGAAGACTGAATTTGTCTCCATCCCCTGTGGCCTTGTAAGGGAGTCCCATCATGAGGAAGTGATAAAAAGCAGATAACATAATCTGTGGAGTTATCCCCCACTCCCCTAACTAGTGGGCTGACATGAAGCCTAAGATGCCCATCGGACATATCTTCTTGGCGTCTGTGCATTGTAGTTTGTCTATCCTGTAATATATGACTATAATCCACTTATACCTGCAAATTTCATGATTTCATATCTATCTATCTATCTATCTATCTATCTATCTATCTATCTATCTATCTAGACTTGCCAGGTTCTGTCTAGCTGGCTGACTTATTGGATTCCTCTGTTGTCCTGGAGTAGGAGTCCTGATGTTGAACTCTTTGTGCAGAAGACAAAACTAAGCTGCAATGGAGAGCCATGCATCACACACACGCAAATATTGAAGCACCTAAGCTGCCAGGCCCCAGAGCTCTCGTTTCCTCCTTTATTCTGGAGGTGCCACCCCAGAGGAGCTCACCTGCTGTGTCTTATGAAGATTTTCTTATAATAGATTTAAATGGCAAACGTGTCTTTCTTTTCTTTCTCAAAAGTGTCTCTTTGATTTAACTCTCCATTTAGTAAAGATCTAGAGCTCATCCAGGGACCCCCTGGCCCCAATTTCCCAAGATAAAGGATGCTATTCTAGTTCGGTTTCTGTTGCTATGACTAAACCAGCTTGGGACCAAAGAGTTTATTTGGCTTACAGGTTAGAGTCCATCATCAAGAGAAGCCAGAGCAGGAGCTCAACATGGGAACCTAGAGGCAAGAACTGAATCAAAGGGCATGGAGGAATGTTTCTTACTGGCTTGTTCTCTGGTTTATTCATTTAGCTTTCTTTTTTCTTTTCTTTCTTTCTTTCTTTCTTTCTTTCTTTCTTTCTTTCTTTCTTTCTTTCTCCTTCCTTCCTTCCTTCCTTCCTTCTCTCTCTCTTTCTCTCTTTCTCTCTTTCTTTCTTTCTTTCTTTCTTTCTTTCTTTCTTTCTTTCTTTCTTTCTTTCTTTCTTTCTTTTCTTTTTCAAGAAAGGGTTTCTCTGTGTAGCTTTGGCTGTCCTGGACTCATTTTGTAGACCAGCCTGGCCTTGAACTCACAGAGATGCATCAGCCTCTGCCTCCCGGAGAGCTGGGATTACAGGTGAGTGCCGCCACACCCTGCTCAGTTAGCTTTCTTATACAGCCCATGCCCACCTGCCCAGGGATGGCACTGCTCATAGTGGGCTGTTCCCTCCCACATCACTCATTAATCAAGAAAATGCCCAACAGATACACTCATAGGCCGATATGATGGGAGCATTTTCTCAATTGAGATTCCTACTTCTCAGATGACTCTAACTTCTGTCATCGACGAAATCCAACTAGTGAAGATGCTATTCTGGACCGTAAGAGGTGAGATGTAGTAGGTGGCATTCAAAATCTGTTCTAGAAGGGTGCACCATGTGCACTGTGACAAGAATTCAACATGCCTTGATGTACTTGATTTAGTCAATGGGAGCAGAGCAAGAAGGGGTGGGAGATAAGCAGGAGGAAATCCAGTCACTGGGAATGGAGGCTGTAGAGAGAAGGCTGGGGAAGGAAGAGTTGAGTCTGGGAAGGATGGGGGCTCTGCTGAGATGAATTACTACTTCTGTCTTTTTTTGTTTTTGTTTTGTTTTGTTTGTTTTTGATTTTTTTTTTTTTTGAAACAGGGTTTCTCTGTGTAGCTTGCTGTCCCGGACTTGCTTTGTAGACTTAGAACTCATAGCAATCTGCCTGCCTCTACCTACCTGAGTGCTGGGATTAAAAGTGTGTGCCACCATGCCCAGCTACTTCTAAAAGAAAGGTTTTAGGGCAAGAGATACAGCACAATTCTAGAAAATAGAACATGGCCCAGGGTTCTATTTCCAGCACTGTAGATAGGAAGAAAATGTTCCAGCTGACCATAGTTCCCTTCTGTTCTCTAGATGAAGCTGAAAATTTCCAGCACTGTCCTACTGATATCAACTCTAGTTAGTGTCTGTGTCTAGTTAGTGTCATTAATAATGACACATCTTTGGGCACATGTGGCCAAATCACTCTCCCTCTCTCTCATACACACATACACACACAGAGAGAATGAACAAAGGGAACACACAGAGATGGAGACAGACAGACAGACAGAGAGACTGCATGCACAGTCGCTCTCTGTGGCTGAGTCATCTCCTAGAAATCATACCTTCTCAACATCTGTTCTGGAATTGCCTGGATCATCTAATCTGATCCATAGTGTGACTTTTAAATTTTCCTCCTAACCGGGAGCTTTGGAGGCTCATCCTGTGTGTGCGAAAGGCCACCGCCAAATGCTGAAATACTTCACCGTATTCCGCACCTGGGTTAGTGCCCTTTCAGCCTCTCTCATCACTTCCCTTCCAAAACACATCAAGGCTGGAGCAATGATGGGAAGCCATGCCTCTTCTTCCAAGTGTTTGTTTAAAAGTAAAACAAGGGACACATTTACTACTTCTAATATATACATACATGTGTATATATATATATATATATATATATATTCAAATTTTCCTGATACTAAAATTAACGACAACATCATGTAGAAATTTAGAACAATAGGGGTTAGAAGATGACTCGGTCAGTGAAGTAGATGCCTTATAAACATGAGGACCTGAGTTTGGAGTCCCAGTGTCCACATAAAAGCCAGGCATGATGGTGTGCACCTGTAACCCCAGCATCAGGGAGTGGAACAGGTGCTAGAATTTACTGTCCAGCTGGTTTGGCCAAATTGCTGAGTCCCATGCTCAGTAGTACTAGTCCCTGTCTTAGAGAGCAACAGAGAAAGACACCTATTGTCAACCTCTGGCTACACACACACACACACACACACACACACACATAAATGCACACACATGCACATACACACACGTATGCACACACACGTGTGCAAATGTGTTCTGGTGTATCTGCAAATACACAAATGTATACATACAAATATAAAATGTATACATAAGAAAATACAATATTGTCCCAAGGGTCTTTTCTGAGACTGATACTCCAACCAAGGACCGTGCATGGAGATAACCTGGAACCCCTGCACAGATGTAGCCCATGGCTGCTCAGTCTCCAAGTGGGTTCCCTAGTAAGGGGAACAGGGACTGTCTCTGACATGAACTCAGGGGCTGGCTCTTTGATCACTTCCCCCTGATGGGGGTGCAACCTTACCAGGCCACAGAGGAAGGCAATGCAGCCAGTCCTGATGAGACCTGAGAGGCTAGGGTCAGATAGAAGAGTACGAGTACCTTCCCTGTCAGTGGACTTGGAGGGGCATGGAGGAGATAAGGGAGGGAGGGTGGGATTAGGAGGGAATGAAGGAGAGGGCTACAGCTGGGATACAAAGTGAATAAACTGTAATTAATATAAAAATAAATCATAAAAAAGATAAAAAGAAAATATAGATTATGTATCTTTTTCCTATTTTTCTCTGTGTTTAAAAACACGCATTAAAATGCATGTCAACTTTTATGGCTTTTTTTCTATCATGCACTATTCCAACACGAATGCTTTCTGTGTCATTTAAGAGATTTATAATTTTTATTTTTCATTTTTGCTGATTATAAGAAATTTCACATGCTCTAATTTACAAGCTGCTCCCCCTCCCCATTTAAAAGCATCGATTCTTGCTGGTTTTCAGTGGCTGTGAGGAGGAGGGAGTGAGGGCTTTTTATTTAATAGGGACAGAACTTTTGTTTTATAAGATGAGCGTCGGTCGGAAATAGATGGTAAGGGCTGCATGGCACTATAGAATGCGTGTGACAGGAGGAAGTGCACACTTAGATGGCAACTCTTAACTACAATAAAAAACAAACAAACAAACATGGGTGAAAGGTTGATTCTAGCCAGCTCTACACTGCTGTGTTACCTGCCTGAACTCTCTAGTCTTTGGTGACTGTGCAGAAAGACAGCGGCTTCACAATGTGGAGCCAGCAAAGCTCCCATTTTCCATTTGTTTTGAAGCCCCGCATCCCCGTTGCTTCTCAGCAGAGTAAATGCAAGTCTGAATTGCTCTTGTATCCAGGACACAGCAGCACCAGGTTGATCGATTACTCAGCAATGATGCTTCTAGGCCTTCTCTATGGGGCTAAGCGGGTATGCAGTGAGTGGAGGCAACGGGGGCAGAGGGTATCTATGAAGAGACAGATCCAAATCTGGAAAATAGAGCCATAGGTTGCAGAGCTATACTGGCAAAGGAAAAAAATGTCTCACCCAGGGGAGAAAAATACATATTTCAAAGGTATAGATCATACTGCGTGCTTCTCCTTTGGAGATATAAATTGCTGCAGGAAGAAAGCCATTTTCACCTCAGTGGCTCAGGGTGGGATTGCTCTGAGTGTCTGCCACTTATCTTGCTCTTATTTCAATTTAGGCAACGATGCCCTTCTTAGTCATATGCCTTAAGGCATAAATAAAAAGCAGACGCAGTAGATAAGAAGCATGGAACTATGAAAACAGTTAGCAGCTCTGCGAAATCATGCTGGAAACATTTAAAATAAATCAATATCTTAAAACATTTAAAAAGGAATCAGTAGCAGCATCTATGAGCAAGATTGCAAAAATTATCTCGGAAGACCCTGGTCAGGA